AAATTTTGGCTATCGAAAATTTATTGAATGTATCATTGGCAAGTATCTTCTCCCAACAGGTAGGCTGTCTTTGCGTTTTGTTGATGGCTCAGAGAAAAGTAGTTAATGACTGAATAGCTAAGAATTTGAGCTGTGAGCAAACTTTAGGAAACTGATGTGTTTATGAAATTAAAACAAAGGTTAATTATACAAAAACAATTATTTTTCTGTGAGGACCTTGGGGGTGGCAGGGGGGCAGTGGAAGGGGTCAATGGGGAAAAAAGGGGGACATCTGTAATATTTTCAACATAAAGATTAAAAATTTTTTTAATTTATTTATACTGTATCAAAGTTGATTATAACATGAGGAATGTGCCAAAAGTAAAACATATTAAGAGCATGAATGTCAACTATTATTGAAGAAGGTTCTACAGTCTTTTAATGAAACCATAGAATTCAGTATGTTGATGACAATGTAAAAGCCACTTTCTAAGTAGTTCTCAGCCATGACTGTGTCAGAATCACCTGCTTTCAAAGCATGAAAGCATCAGGGGCCCGGAGCAAATCTAACAAGTCAGCAGCTGTTCTTTTGTTTTGTTTTGTTTTTAATTGATTTGAGAGAGAGATGAATGGGGAGAGGGAGTGGAGAAGAGAGAAAGAAACATCAATTTGTTGTATCACTTTTTTTATGCATTCCTTGGTTGCTTCTTATATGCGCCCTCACTGGGTATCAAACCCACAACCCTGGTGTATAGGGATGACGCTCTAACCAACTGAACTACCTGGCCAGGGCCTTGATAGCTGTTTTGTTTTGTTTTGATTAATCTTCACTCAAGGTTATTTTTTCCATTGATTTCTAGAGAGAGTGGAAAGGAGGGGAGAGAGAGGAAGAGACAAGAGAGAAACATTAATGTGAGAGACACACATTGATCAGTTGCCTCCTGAATGCACCCTAACCAGGGTGGGGGTCCTAAAACTCAGGTATGTGCCCTTGACTGTGCCCTTGATTGGGAATCAAACCCGCAACCCCCTGGTCTGAGGGCCAACACTCCAACCACTGAGCCAAACCTGCCAGGGCCTTGTCAGTTGTTTTGAAAAATCATACAGCTGATTCTGAACTGTTGGCCAAGGTTAAGAATCACTGAAACACTTTGACTTAAATCAGCCAGGGGAAAAAAAACAAAAATCACTTGCAAAAGAAAGTAACAAACATAGTTCTATGAAAACACCAAATAACAGCATTCTTATAAACACAAAAAATTCTAGGCTTAGATGGCTTCGATGATGAACTCTTCTGGACATTAAGGAAGAAACAGTTCTATCTTACTCAAACTCTTTCAGAGAACAGAAAATGGAAGAACATTTCCCAAGTCAGTATAAGAAAAAAAATTAAAGGCCAATCTTTCATGAATATATATGCAAAAATTATAATCACGTGAAAAATAAATCCCACATACTTGGAAATTATATCATGATCACATTCAGTTTACTCTGTTAACACAGTTTAACATTTGAAGTTAATGTAATTCACACATGAGCAGAATAAAGGAAAAGGTTCATGTAATCATTTCAAGAAAAGAAAAACATTTGATAAATTTCAACATCCGTTCGTAATTTTAAAACTCTGCAAACTAGGAATAGAAGGAATCGGTCTTTAATAAACAGAATTCACAAAAAGCCTAGAGTATATTTAATGATAAAATATTTGAAAATTTTTACCCTGATATTGGAGAACAAGGAAGCCCAGTATGGACACTTCTATTCAGCATTTTATCAAAAGTCCTAGTAAGTGTGACCAGACAAGAAAAATAAATGTTGTAAGAATTTGAAATAAAGAAATAAATCTGTGAATAAGTCCTCATTCACAGATAACGTAACTGTATACACAGAAAATCTAAAAATACTACTGATACTCTATTGGAATTGATGTGAATTCTTCACTGTCATTGGATACAAAGTTGATATAAAAATATCAATGGCTTTCTGATCCGCCATCTGCAGTGGAGCCCCCACTAAGATGCAGACTTTCATGAAGACTCTTATGGGGAAGACTGTCACTCTCGAGGTTAAACCCTCGGATACAATAGAAAAGGTAAAGGCCGAGATCCAGGAAAAGGAATTCCTCCTGATCAGCAAAGACTGATCTTTGCTGGCAAGCAACTGGGAGACGGACCTACTTTGTCTGACTACAGCATTCAAAAGGAGTCGACTCTTCATCTTGTGCTGAGACTTTGTGGTGGTGCTAAGAAGAGAAAGAAGCCTTATGCTCTCCCACGAGGAGTGAGCATGAAAAAGGTGAGGCTGCTGTCCTGAACTACTACACAGTGCATGGGAGTGGCAAAATCAGCCACCTTCGTAGGGAGTGCCCTTCAGTGAATGTGGTGCTGCAGTTTTATAGCCAGCCACTTTGACAGACAGTATTGTGGCAAATGTTTTCTGATCTAATGCATCCACAAACCGGAATTCAAGTATTTGCATATGGGTTAATAAAAGACAAGAACTAACATTTTTTAAAAATCCCACAAAAAAACAAACAAGAAAACCCACATCAATTTTTTAGATATAGCAACAACAAAAATGGAATTTAAAAAATGACATTTACAATAGCTTGGAAAACATCCAGAAATAAATTTTATGGAAGATTTGGAAGATTTTTATACAGAAATGAAAGAAAACCTAAGTAAATAGAATATATCATGTTCATAGATCAGAGAATATCAGTTCTCTCCAAATTATCTCTAGTCACTGTAAATCTAATCAGAATCCCTGGAGATCTGTGTGTGCATGTATGAAGTTGACAAATCCATTCTAAAATTTATATGGAAATATACAAGTTCAAGACTAGCCGAGACGATCTTGAAGGGTGCAAGACTGGGTAATGCATTGTGCGGAAATGAAGACTTACAATGCTATACTAGTTCAGTGTTCTGTTGGTACAAGCAGACAAGCCAATGGAACAGACAAAACAGCCCAGAAACAGACCCCGACACAGACCCTTGATCTATGACAGATGTGTAGCACTGGGAAATCGTCAGTTTTCAATAACTGGTGTGAGTTGATTAGCTCCCTGTGGAATGTAAAATAGTAAAACTTCTGGAAGATAGCACAGATATCTTCATGACCTTGTAATAATTTCCTCAACAGGGCATAGTAGGCACTAACTAAGAAGGAGAAGACACCATGGTAAGCTGGCTACATTCACTTAAAAAACTGGTTTTCATTGAAAGATATCAAGAGTGCAAAACCAGAGTGGGAAAAGATACACGCAATGCATAGGACCAAAAGTTTCCATAACTACAATACATTTTTTACTCCTATAAGTCAATAAATAAAAGACAATAAATCCAACAAAAAAGTGGGCAAAAGACTTAAATAGGTATTTCACAAAAGATCACAGCCAAAGGCCACTAAGTATACAAAGAGATGATCAACATCATCAGCACCTGAGAAGTGCAAATTAAAACAGAATCATCTCACATCTACCAGAAAGGTAAATTTAAAAATATTGACAAAATCAAATCTTGACAAAGATATGGGGCAACTGGAACTCTTACAAACTGCTGGTGGGAGTTTAAGTTGGTGTAACTGCTTTGGAAAACTGTTTGGCAGTATCCAATAAAGATGTATCTATCTATTCCTATGACTCAGTAATTTCACTCATAGTTACACACCAACAGAAACGCATTCGTGTGTGCATCAAAAGACATGCACATGAGTGCTCCTGGCAACAGTATGGGTAGTAGCCAGAAACTGCAAACAACTCCAATAACAATTAGTGAGTAAGTTTTAAGGTATATTTACACAATAAACCAACCAGTGGAAGTGGATAAACTATAGCTACAATTAATCCCCCCTGTCCTATCCCTGCTGCATCCCAGGATCCCATTCAACACTAGCCTCTAGTTTACTCGCTATTTAAATTGTTCTATACCCACTTCACAGCTCTTTCTTGAAGTGGGCAGGGTAAAAATGAGCTTATATACCTCGCAGTTCTTTAAAGAGTTAACAACCCACACAGAAGAGGGCTGCAATTCCAGCTAACCAGGGAAAATCTAACCCAGTCTCAAGGGAGTGTCGACTTGAGGCATTTTAGGTAAGGGTTACACAGGTTCCTCCTCCTCCCGCCCGCCTTGTTCATTTTACACAACCCTTTAAACACGTGAAAACCATCCTGAGCATGGGGCAGTTTGTGAACTCGGTAAGAAACCAGGCCAGCCTGAAGGCAGCCAGCAGTGAGGGAAAGAAATTAGTTCCCAGCACTCCCCCTGGTGGTACGAGGGAGTCCCAGCCTTGCAAACTCAACATCGCACACTATAGACGCTCTGTTCCTTCCTTGGCCCACTGTGGATTCCGGGTAGCTGACCAGGAAATAACTAATGTGGAAAGGTACAAAGCAGATTTTACAAGACTACCCAGTACCGCTGAGCAGTTGTTAAAGCACAGGCTATGAAGTGAGACCACCAGGGTTAGTGTCCTGGTTCCACTACTTATGACACCTGACCCATCACCATCCCAGGGTTGTTACATGAAGGGAAATAATGTAACTGCACAGTATTCAATAATGACAGGGATTTAAAAGTGAAAGGCAAATGGCTTATAATTTCAAACAGTAAAAGGTAGTCAGTGGGTAAGAAAATGGATCAATTTCCCATGAAATAAATCTTTGCAGTAACTTTAAAACACAAAAGGTATCTCTGAATATCTGTAAAAGATGACCAAACCATAAATTTAATAAAAACATAAGAAATTCAGTTAAAAGGGTTTTTTTTGCCTTATAAATTTGACAAATTACAAAGTGGATCACTTACATGCAATACAACTAGTTAAGTGGGATGAGAAGGTATCAGTCACCACTAGGTGCTGCTCAAGAGCTGCCTGTTTGTTGCCTGCTCCTATTTCATCCCCATTAAACTTCTTAACCCTTCAATTTACTTTTTTCTTTCAAAAAAGAAAAACTGAAACATGACAAATGCTTACCAACTCCATTTCCAAACTACAAAATACACATTTAAATACACACCAAAGGTAAAACAAATACTTTTATTGCACATTTATAAAATCTGCATAGTTGTATCAAGTGTTCTTCCCTCCCACAATTCCCTCATTAATCTGAAAATTTGGTTAAAACACTATACCCAAACTGGAGCCTTTTTAAAATGGTCAACAGGGGATAATTCTCTCTCTCTACACACACACACACACACACACACACACACACACACACACATAGTTTTTTTCTTTTTACAAACCCACATCCCTTATTTTTTCAAAGCAAAGAGGAAGAGGGTATCAAAACATTCTTTTGGGCCAGCAGCAGCCCAGGACATGTTTCCGACAATTTTCAGACCCTAGAAAATTTTACCTAAATGGTTAACAACTATCAAAATGCTATCTTTAACCAACAGTTGGATCTGTTCCTATGGGTCTGTTTTTGTTTGGTTTTGGGGGGGAGAGGTGGTGGGAGGGATGGGTGAAACAGGTAAAGGGAAGTATAGCCAATAACATTGTGGTAAATTTGCATGGTGGCAGATGGTTACTAGACTTAGTGTGGTGATCACATCGAATAACTCTACTGTATCCCTGAAACTAATATAATATTGTATACCAACTATATTTAAATTCAAAAAGTAAAACAAAGGCTCCCCCACCAAAAAACAACAAGGTCCACTGTACTAGTATGAGACACCCAAGAGTTTACATATGCTCACTTTCTCATTTAAAAACAAAACAAACAACCACACAAACCCACTACCATTGTCAAGTTTCACAATGTTATTCCGTCTAAAGTCCTTAATGTTTTCCTTTCTTTCATTCAGGACTGAGCATGAGGTTTTCTGGTTTATTTAAAAATATAAAGTAAGAGAGAGAGAAGAAAGGAGGGGCAGCTTTCTCCCGACTGTTCAGCATCTTACGGCCACATGACCTTGTATTCTACCCACACGTAAAAGGGTGGTGGCTTATCAGCAACCCATTTGCCATCCTGTCAAGAGCCAGGCAAGGTTTATATTTCTTGTCTCTGGCAGTTAAAAATTTTCAAATGTCACCTGTAAAAACTAGGAGCTTTCATCTAGTTCAGGTTCTGATGAATCACCCTCCTATTCTGCTGTCAAAAATATTAATGACTGAAGGACAACTTAAAAAGTGGCAAAGGCTTAGAGTAGCTCAAGCATCCCGGTAGGCACAAGAGGCCACCTCAGGTCCTTGGGCATAATCCAACACCTCAACGCACTGGTTCCCACCTCTTTCAGTAAAACTGCTTTAGTGATTCTGTTCCTAAAAAGTGCAATTTTATTTTCAATCCTTTGTTACACAAAAGCATGGTTGGGGTCAGGGTCTGAATCTTACTTTTTCACCTAATTCCTTTCACAAAGTAAACAGTGGGTAACAGAGTTCTGTTCAACAGGTAGGCGACCAAAGACCAGGACGGGCCTTGAACCCGTCTTATTTCACAGTTACAGTTGAAACCCCTTGAATCGACTCCATGACGGCTGCAAACCGGCTGCAAAGGTCATAAGGAGAATTAGGTCGAATAGTTGGAGGTTCCTTCAAGACAATGATTTCTGCAGAAGGATCTAGAAGCCTGGGTAGAAACTCCCCTAAGCACAGCTGCAGATTTTCTGTGGAGAGAAAATGGATGGTTACATATATAGCTAAACAGATCTCGGAGTAAAAGTAATTAAATCTGCAACCCTATGGGAAGGCCCTCCATACAGCCCACTACCCAACCTCAAAGATCTGCTCGGGACAGCTAACAAAAGACGATTCCTCTGGGCCCAACCAGAAGAAAGATCTACTCGCCAAATATACCAAAGCTTCAGGTCACTGCTGTCAGCCACCTGGCACATGGCAGAATAACTATACTGACTTCATTATGGACAGGTCTCCCAATCAGTCATCCTTTTAAACCTTGAGAGCAGATGTAACACTCTGTACCATAAATATAATGGAGCTATTTTCTTTCAAAGGATTAAAATGTACAGTGTATGCACAGAGCACTAAGTTAAGCTATATATCACACATGGTCTAAACAAAAGCTGAAGACATTAAAAGGAAATTCATACCTACTAACTATAATAGCGTTTTTCAATAAATATTATAAATAAGCACTGTAACAGTCAATAGACTATGTCTACACCAGTGAGAAACTAATAGAGAGGGTTCATATTAGAGTATACACCAACTTTCTAAGTCCATCAAACTCTCCTAAAAGTAACTAGCTTTGGGATCCCTCCCTAAAATACTTCAGACAAGCAAGAGTCCATTTACGAACTGACTGGGCTCAAGGCACTTTGGCAACATGGTATGTGTTGACACTTCAGGCCTGAGGAACCTGCAGTGACGGCACCGCTGGGTAACCAAGCTGCATACAGGGATTCTGATTTTTAAACTATGAAATTAGAGTCCAGATTCTGGCAAATGAAAACAGAGGTCGGACACTCCTGGAAAGCAGTGACATTTCAGGAGGGGACACTTCAGCAGCCACAGAAAAGGCAAGGAGAGGCCAGGAGGAAGAGGCATGGCTCCCACTGGTTTCTATACAGCAGGCCCACTTAACTCGCATATATCCTAGGGGTTCCCATAATTGCGCTTGATAAGGTTTGGCAACCGGTGCTATAGAGGGAGCCCACTGAAGTTTCTATAATTCCCAAGAGACTTAAAAATTATTGGGATTGTTAAAAGCAACATACCTGCAATATCCTGCCCAAGATAAGAGCACCAGTGTTTTCTCATGACCTCAATGGCATCCAGGTCATCCTTGGAGATGTCATTATTGATGATGAGGTGAATGCAGGGAATGATCAGCTCGTTCATCACATTAATGCCCTCTGTTACCGCATGGTCATCATTGGTTTCAAAGAGAGAAGCCGCTTTGGCATTCAGCTCCTACAGATAAAAGGAAGAGTGAAAAAAAAAAGCCTGAAAAACATAAATATCTATTTGAGAAGATCCTAACACATGGTTTCCACACTTTACTGCACATTGGAATTGCCTGGGGAATCTCTAAAAACCATTTGATCCCTCCCCGACCCTATAAGCTAATGTGATCCTATGAAGGTGACCTGGGCATTGGGATTTTTAAAAAGCTCCCAAGGTGATTCTCATGCAGCTAAGCCTCTGATGCACTGGCCTCAACTTACAAGTGAAGATCGTGCCTAACACCCGCATCCACTCTAAGGCCTATTCCCTGGCTCCCATCTCCACAGAGCATCAGAATCACCTGCAGAAGACACGCAGCTGCTCAGGCCCCAGTTTGGCTGCCTGGGGAGGGGCCTGCGCCTCACCCCCAGTGAAAGCTCCCCAGGTGATCGTGATGCACACTGAGGGTAGAAAGCCAGTGACGGGTACCATCTAATTCACTATCACTGCTACCTGAGCAGGACATTCCAAATGTAATCTATCTTCGGCCATTTAAAAAGTAAAAGTACAACTCTAATAAAATTCAGATCCATCCAATCTACAAGCCCCTTTCTTCAGCTTCCAAATACTCTGCCACACCTGTAACTAACACAGAAATCAAAGTATAAACCAGAAAGTGAAGCTCCGGAGGCCAGTGTGTGTCATACTTGGCCTCCTCCATTCGGTACTAACAGGGCAGTGGCAGAAAGGCTGCCTGACTGCCCTGGAAGGGCGTTCTGCTGGGTCAGGTGGGGTCAGGGAAGAAGCACAGCACACACTGAGGGCAAGCCCCACTTTGTAGTTTCCTGAAGGAAACGGGCCTCTTTAGACGCTTGGAGGCAGAGGGGTATCATTCTGCCTCTCCATGTGGCTGCCTAATGCAAAGCAGGCCAGGGGACCTTCCGCGGGTATGACCATAGGAACGGGGGGCCAGGGCCCATTCTTATGGTTCACACCTTAAAAAAAACTGGAGTCTCTTTAGAAGGAACACAAAAAAAAACACTGCATTCCTTCAACACACATTTATTACATGTGTACTATGTTCCTGTCACAGAGAAACAGCCAACTAAGAAAATCTTGCTCCAGGACCCAGTCTGGTAGGAGAGCAATGTGATGAAGGGCAGGTAACATAAGGGCACAGGAAAAGGGACAATCCACTCTCAGCCCGACTTCTATTCAGGCCTGAAGAAGAACCAGATTCACTTAAGCAATTTAAAATAACTGGCATCAATGTTAAGCTCCTCTTGAGAGTCTGGAAAAATCTGAAGCCTGTTGGAGATTAATTTCTTCCTGGCTCCAGGAGCAGAGGCAAAGACAGAGCAACAGGGATGTAGGGCTTTACAGAAACACAAACCAGAAGGCATTTTCTCCGGTACAGAGCGATCACCGCCTCCTTCACGCCGCGGCGGGGCCCCTTGGTCAGCAGAGTGGCGTTGCTCTGGTAGGCGTACACCAGGTATGAAAGGGCCTCTTGGTACCTTAGGAAATGGCAGGTAAACAACAGCTGAGCGTGCTCCTCCAAAACCCAGGGCTCAGACCTCCCGTTTCCTCAGACAGGATTTACGCGGCTGCATTATAGAAAATTCTGAGAGAAGGAAGCAGCAGTGGGTACTGGGAACAGCCAGCGTGAGGGCCAAAGACAGCAGCGAGTCTCAGCTCTTCTACAAACTGGCCAATGCCCAGGACCAATCCTGAAAGCTCCCTGGGCTTCGGTCTTCCTGACAGAGATGTGGAGACATGGACTAGATGCTCAGCTGAGGGCTGCACCAGCTCAAAGATTAATTCTCTGAGTTCATCTCATTTATCACAAAGAAACCTGGCCACTAAGTCTCTGTACTAATACCTCAGACACTATGTGAAGGATGGAAACACAAGTGTGATGTTCAGAGCAACACCAAGGGCAACACTGGGAAGTAGAGACACACAGCACAAGTGACGGGTGGTGCGTGCCTGTGCCTCTCAGTATTCCTGGGTGGGGGTCAATAAATCAGTGTCCCGACCAATAGTCTTAGTGACATAAAAGGCAAACTTACTTTCCCTTTTGATAGAGTTCCAGGCCCGTCAGCAGATACACAGACACCTTTCGAAACAAACTGTAATCTTCATGCCACTTCTGAGAAGGAATGATTCGTGTTAATGATTATGACCACGACAAACTACTTCCACACTGCCCACCACATAAGTTTTAAACTCCGTACAAACATTTACTGAGCACACGTGGCCAGGCACAAAAACAGCAAACATGAAAACTTTCACATAAAAATATACTCAACATTTAGAGTAAGTCTACTGTTCACCTTAATTTTTTTTTGGTTTTTTGTTGTTAATCCTCACCAGAGGGTATTTTTTCCATTGACTTTTAGAGCGTGAGAGGGAAGGAGGGAAGGAGGGAGAGAGGGAAGGAGGGAAGGAGGGAGAGAGGGAGGGAGAGAGGGAGAGAGGGACAAACATCAATGTGAGAGAGACATCGATGGGCCACCTTCTGCACACGCCCCGACCAGGGCTGAGGATCGAACCTACAACCCAGGTACGTGCCCTTGACCAGGAATCAAACCCATGACCCTTTGGTGCACAGGCCAATGCTCTAACCACTGAGCACACCAGCCAGGGCTTGACCTGAATTTTTAATATCCTGTTCCTTCTAAGGTATTCATCTGAGCTTTAGAATTATCATCCTGATTTCCCACACCCACGTCAATGCCATTCCGCTCTGGTTCAAATGAATGACCTCTCTGGTTCTGAGGAAACTGTCCAGATGTGGGAAGATGAAAGGACAGGCCGTCCCACTCGCACCGGACAACACTCAAGCTCAGTAAGTGTGGGCACACCTTAGGTGGCACGTAACACTGTTTTACATACAACACAAAGCTTTCTTAAAAGCTTGTAGTTATATATGCATTTTAATGCACAGAAACTTAATTTCCAATACAGAAATATTAGAAAACTATATTATTTAAAACAAACTCAAACCATGAGTTCAGGAACTCTATTGCCTAGAACAAGCCTAAAGCACATGTTTACAAAAACGAAGTTCATTCATTCTGAAAATGGAATAAAGTAATGGGCTATTCTGAGGGTAAGAAAAGGCCATTCACCCACCCTTATCCAGTGTTTTGTGGGGTGGGGGTGGGGGTGGGGAACCAGTCACCAAATTATTAGTTTAGCCCCAGGGAGGAATGTTCGATTTTTTTTTTAATCCTCACTCGAAGACACTCTTCCCACTGCTTTTCAGAGAGAGTGGAGGGGGGGAGAGAAACATCGATGAGAGACACACATCAATTAGATGCCTCCACACAAACCCCGACCGGGGCCAGGGGTTCAGCCTGCAACCAAGGTACGTGCCCTTGACCCGAGACCCTTCAGTCTGCAGGCCGACGCTCTAACCACTGAGAAAACCGGCCAGGGCAAGGCTTTGTAGATCTGAAGAAAAGACTTCACCTTATACTCCTCCATATTCATGTCGTCTGGACCGATCTCCTTCAGCTTCGCCTGGGCCACCTTCATGATACTGATGGACCTGTGTGGGACAAGGTTCAGGAAGCAGGGAAAGTGCCCAGGGCGTGGCTTCCCATCAGGGAAGGGTCAAGCCAGACCCAGGAGGGGATTCGCAGGAGCAATCCCTCTCACCTTTCATCATAGCTAAGATTCTTATCTGCAAACTGTTCCAAAAGGGTCCGCTCCACCACCCTTTTGGGTGCTTCATTCTGGAAGAAGTAGACAAGCACGTGCTGCAGTCGAGGATCGCTGTGCGGGGTGGGGGCCTCTCTAGCAAGCTGGTAGAGCCGGGAGTATTCTTCGTGGAATGCCTGTGAAAGACAACGGAGAGTAAGAAAGGGTGCCCTGCAGGCGTCTATGCAGACACTGATGCCTGGGGGCCTCAGAGGCTGTCCTAACTCTGGGGAGACTCCTGAGAAAGTCTTCCTACTGAGGAATTGGACACAACCATGAGTCTGCAGGCCATTTGCATGTCATCAGGGATAAAGCTCCTCTGGTACTATGGCACCAAAGACATACTATATTCATAAGTTGGCTTTTCATAAAGTTCTCAGAAAAAATATTTAGTTTTAATTATTTCAGGCATATCCTTGAGTCCCAAGGGCCCAAATTTTAAAAATCTACATGAATGCAATTTATTCACATACCTTAAATTTTATCCTAGTACCTTAAAAAGCATAGCCTACCTTCTCATATTAGAGCCATCCAGTTACAAAGGCAATGTCTCAATCACAGCTTTACTACCAGACATTCCCTAAGAACAGCAGTGAGCCCTCGGGGGGGG